AGTAGAGTTATACTAACCTCCACCATCTGTTCTCATAATTTTTAACTTCTGACCACTCTGCTTCTCAGCCTTCACCTTGAATTTCTGGAACTCAGTAAACACTTCATACTTGAACTTGACAAGTGTTACCCATGTCATTCTTGTGAACTCATCCACAAAGGACACAAAGTAATTGTTTCCTCCAAGTGAAGGTACTGGAAATGGTCCACACACATCAGAATGTACTACACCCAGAGCATGTTTCGCTCTGGGGGCTACTTCTGATGTAAATGGCAATCTAGATTGCTTACCTTTCATGCATATCTCACATGACTTCTCAGGCTTCACAATTTTCGAAATACCACGTACGAGCTTCTTAGAACATAGATGCCCTAAGCTTCTATAGTTTAAGTGCCCTAACCTCTTATGTCACAGCTTACTGTTACTTTCAGCACCTTCTGCACTAAGGCACGCTGCTTCAGCTGTTTCTACATTCACCTTGAATGTTCTGTTGCCTCCTTGTTCAGACTTCATAATTAACTTCTGATTGGAATCATACAACGTCAGAAGATTGTTTTTCATAACAATTGAAAAACCTTTCTCAATCAGCTAACCTACGCTCATCAGATTGCTTCTAATACCAGGAACATACCAGACATCTTTGATCAAAATGTCTTTCCCATTCTTCACTCTAATTATGACATCTCCCATACCTTCTGCATTAAGATACTTATCGTCAACACATCTGATCTTTGTACTCCTTCTGGAGTCAAAGTCTGTCAGCCATTGTTTGTTTCCAGTTAAATGATTTGAGCAGCCAGTGTCCATATACCACCAATCTTCTGAGCATTTTCCATCAGAGTCAGAGGCCATTAGCAGTACAGGTTCATCATCAGAGTTTCTCTTAGCCATATATGCTTCTTCTGATTTCCTATCCCTGTTTAACCTACAATCTCTGGCAAAATGGCCCAGTTGTTTACAGAAGTAACATTGAACCTTCCTTTTGTCATACCTCTCTTTTCCTTTATGATACTTCTTATCATCAGAGGTTGAGGCTTCTGACTTCTGGAATCTATCACCACGTCTATTTTGCTTCTGGTCTTTCTTGACAAAAGAAGCCTTCAGAGCTTGCTCAGCTTCTCTCTCAGAAGTTCTCTCAGACAGACGTAACTCCTGTGCTTCTAAGCTGCTTTGTAATTCTTCTATTTTCATGGTTTCCAGATCTTTAGAATGTTCAATAGAAACAACAATGTAATCAAACTGAGGAATGAGCGACCTTAGAATCTTCTCTATGATTACCTGTTCAGTCAGAGTTTCTCCACACGCCTTCATCTCGTTAGTGATCAGAATCACTCTAGAGATATATTCAGAAACTTTCTCACTGCTCTTCATGTTCAGGTTCTCATATTGCTTTCGTAGGGATTGAAGCTTCACCTTCTTTACTGATGCGTCACCACCGTAACATCTCGTCAGTAAATCCTACGCCCCTTTAGACGTTGTTGAATCAACAATCTTCTCGAACACATTTTCATCCACACACTGATGGATATAGAACAAAGCTTTATGGTCCCTCTTTCTCATCAACCTCTCAGCAGTTCTCTGTTCTTCAGTTGCATCTGCTGCAGCTGGTACATAACCATCTATAACCAGATCCAGAACATCTTGTGCACCGAACAGTACACGCATTTGTATCATCCATCTGTTCCAGTTTTTGCCATTAAAAACTGGAAGTTTAGTGTTCAAACTACCGTCTCCACTCATTTTAAACCTTGCACGGATTTTCAGATCTTAACACACTGTTTCCCAACCCACAGAATCAAAATTCTGTTCAGAATTTTGTTCAAGATTTCAACAGAAAATCAAAGAACAAAACTCAAACACACAGCTCACAATCACTCGTGTTTCCCAAGAAAACAGAACCAAAAGCTCTAGATACCAATTTGTTGGTGCAAGGTAATGGAAGGAGAGATAAAGAATGAACAATGAATGATAACAAAGAGGACTACTTCTTAATATTCAAATAGATGAATGAATTTGGGATACAATATTGATAGCCTAGGTAGCATATTTATACTAGAAATTGAAAATGCCAAAAGGCCCTAATAAAGAGTAAGTATTGAGAATTGTGGACATTAAATAAATTACATTTCCAATAAATATTACCAAAGTAGTTTATTAAATAGTTTAATTTTTTCATATCACTATATAGTTTAAATTAACTAATTACTTTATTAAATAGTTTATTAATTAATGAAATAGTTTATTAATTAATTAATTTAATAATTAATTTATTAATTAATGATATTAATATTTTATTACAATTCAATAAAATAGTTGAAATATAATTTTATAAACTATTAATATTTAATAAATTTTTTGATATTTCAATTATTAATATTAAATAAATTATTTAATCATTAATTAATAGATAAAATATTTCAACATTAATTTTGGATTTGAAAAGTTCCGGATTGATATGAAGGTTGAGGATGAAGATATAAATACAAATTCGGATTTTTGGCTTAAATAGTCTTTTTGTTCCTATAAGATGACATGTTTTTTGTTTTAGTCCCTAAATCTTTTTTTTTTGTTTAGTCTCTAATTCTAGATTTTACAATAAAAAGTTTTGAATCAATGGAACAACTCCAAAACTCTTGACTAACATTAGAAATTGAAGTATTTAACCAATAAAGAAGTAAGTTTGGTAAAATCATGAATTTAATAATAGACAAAAACTTCTGTCGTTGAAGAATATGAATAAACTATAAATTTAACTATTTGTAGATTCAACATGAAAAATTCCATACACAATTTACATTATACCTTCACAACAACATACTACTCATTCTTTCAGAGGTAAAATAGAGAAAAGAGATTTAGAAGAGGAGACATATATTATATGGCTTGGATGTGAAGATTAAAGTGATAATGCAATTGAGAACGATGGTTGGAATGATTGAGAAAAATGAATGATGTTGTGTATGATAAAATAGAGGTCGGAGATAAGTTTGAGGTGAGGAAAATGGAGAATGAGATGAAGAATTTAGTTTATTACTGACACACTTAGATAATATATATGTAATATATATATATATATATTGCAATTGTTGGGGAGTTATTAGGAACATTGATATATAGTGTAGGAATAAACACTTTTGTGAGAGACACACAACTTATTCACCTAAAGTCTTAAGGTGATAAGTGTGTGAATTATTTCACTTCTATATGTTTAAGTCTCCACTCAATCCATAATTTCCCCCACTTGTACCACACTTTTTGGGCGTATTTTGATGCAAGTCTCTTCCATGCTCCTCCACTTGTACCACACTTTTTAGTCGTATTTCGATACAAGTCTCTTCCAGTCTCTTTCTCGAACCAAAAGCTCTGATACCGGAGGAATTACTAGGAGCACCGATACATAGTGAGGAATATGCACCTTTGTGAGAGACACATTACTTATCCACCTAAAACCTTAAGATGATAGGTGTGTGTGTATTCTTTCACTTTTATATACTTAAGTCTCTACATTCCTATATAATGTGAGACTATTTCCCCACTTATTCACACTTACTATATCATTCCAACAATACTGTTAACAAATTGAATGATTAACCTAATAAAAAGAGAATGACTTGTCATTAAAAATGCCATGGATTCAATATCTCTTAAAACCACATTTTCAACTTTTATATTTTAAAATTTAAGAACCAAAATACAACAGTGACCAACGCCAACAAAAATAAATACATAAAAATTTGAAAAATAAAATTTAAGAATCAAATTTAAAAACTACATCATTTTAAATTTTTTATATGAATATTATTAATAAATATAAATAATAAATATAAAATAAAACATTATTTACATTAAATACTTAATAATTTAATATATCGTAACGTATTTATATTCATGTATCTATTTATTTCGGTGGATAGTTCTTCCTGAGAATTCTAATACCCATTCTAGAATGAATTACCCTATTTTTTTTGGTTACATGAAGGAAGGAAAAATTACCCTATTTATTTATTTATTTATTTATTTTTTGGCAGGTGGTGCACGAAATAAATTTGTCATCCCTATGTCGGATATGTCATTTTCCTTCCTCATAAAAAAAAAATTGTACTCCAATAATTCATTTATTTATTTAATCATTACCCTAGTTACTTTCTTGCAAAAGAAAGAAACTTTGATTGTTTTTATTGCATGAAATGATGATTTTGGATTATGGGCACCCACAATAATCCAAAAAAAGCCGCATCTTTTTTCATCACCCAGAATTCTCACAGGTTTTTTCTCTCTCTTCTTCTTTTCAATTATCATCAAACTTTCATGATTTTCTTTACATCTTGTTTTGCTTCTGTTTTTCTCAATATTTTCATTTTTTATTTATTTAATTATGGATTGGAATAATGATTATGTTTAATTATTGTGTTTGTATATTAATCATATAACAATTTAATCACTTTTTCTTTTGTTAAGCAAATTTGATGTTTTCTTTGTTGTCATTTGATTGCACAAAGTTGAATTGAATCAAATTCATGAACATGTTGATCTCTTCATTCATTATATTTTTTGTTACTCGATAGGAAAGTTTGACCAGTTTAGTGTTCAATTCAACTTATGGTGTATGCTTTGACTTTTATAGTTTTATACCAATCTATGCTTTTATTTCAATTTCTTTCTTGTTATATGAATTTGGTTGGAAATGGTGTAATGATGTTTCCAAGATTGTTGTTTTTGTGGAAATTGAATTTATGCTGATAAAAAAATATTGAAATTGTTTTGTAGGGATGTAGAAGGTGTTGAATTGTAGGAAACTAGATTCCGGGTTTTCGTGATTTGAGTTCATTGGTTTGATAAGTTTTGGTTATTGGTACTGTGTAATGTGTTCATGGCCTTAATTTCGTTGGAAGTTGTAGAAGTTATTTTGATTTGTTATTGATAGTTTAGTTGATTGATTTTGTTGGATAGTGATTGAGTTTCGGTTTATCAACTTAATCTTGTAGAATAGTTGTTGCAAAATGGAGTCGAAATACGAAGGGTCGAGCGTGATTTTGAAATTGATGGGACTTGATAAAGTGGCTTCCCGATATGAAACTGTTAGAGATAGACCGAAAGTTTTGTCGGAGGATTATTTGCAGAAAGTTGCTTCAATTGGTGTCAGGAAGAAGCGTTTGTCTTGTCAGCGTGGTTCTTTAGAAATGAGTACTGATGAAAAGGACGGTTCTGACGATGTTATGGTGGTGGTTGAAACATTAGTAAGGAGAGAAAAGAATCATAACTCGTCGAAAGGAAATGGAAAAGAGAATTTATTGCTGTTTCGAACTAAGGTAGAAGATGTGGTGCCACAGAAAACGAGTGTGAAATCTGAGCAGGGAAATTTGCTGCCTCGACAGAAAATGTATAATTTGTCGCGAAGTGTTGTCCATGGAAAAGATGGATTGCGTGAAGCATTTCGGTTTTCGAAATTTCAATTGGATCGGAAGGATTTAACTTTTGACTCGAGAATTTCTGTTTCGAAAGCAAATCCTGAAAAGGAAGGAAATGGTAAGATTAAAAGCAACATTAGATCTAAGGTTGGGTTTGGTTATAGCTTTTCCAGAAAAGTGCCAATGACAAAACGTCTTGCTGATGATTCTGGAACTGTGACTAAGGATGACTTGTTTCAGAAATATTGGGGTTTAAGTAAGAATGTATCCGCAAATCGATCAACCGAGAAGTCAGAAGATATGAACTTAAAGTTGAAGAAGAGATGTTATGGAAATGATTTGTTCGAAAAGGAGCCAATGATTTCTCAATTGTCAAGCTCTGATCCTTTTCCTGGTTTCGTAGACAATCAAATCTCGCAGCAGACATGCTTAATGAACGAAGATGTGAAGAACAATGAAGACAGTAACATGTCTAAGAAAATTGCCTTCTCTCTTGATTCATCAGTGGATTTCTCACTGTCAGATGTGAAGACTAAGGTTGTTGGTTGGTCTGATAATAATCCATCCATGAAGCAATCTGAATCAATGGCATCTGTAACGATGCACGGAGACCGTGATTATTTAAGTCATGCTTCAAAGCAACAGGTACAATTTTTCTTACTCGGAACCTTTCGGATTGTTCTTTTTGTTTCATCAAGTACTAGGACATTTAGTTTCCTATTTTTCTTACTCGGAACCGGTTTGGGGCCTCCCCTTCCGGTTTGGCCGATGACTAATCTCGTCTGAAGAACCTTGCTGGCAATAATTAGTAGGGTCTCACTGCCCTTTGAGTTTCTCTCGTGACGATAAATTAAGCAATTGATATACAGATTATATGCCTACTGTTTCGCAGATTTGTTGGTCAAATTATTGTCATTATTTGCGCAGTTTTGTTGTGATAAATTGTCATGATTGCATCACTTATGTAGTTATATTCCTAGTTAGTTAGTCTTGGTGTAATTTATCATTGATAGAAGATTAGAAAATGTCATAAACATGTAATATTTCTAGTTTATACATACAGAAATGGTTGAAATCTTTAAACTATGAGTTGACTTTTATCTTCATATAATTACATACAATGTTGATCAGTTTAGTCAAGATCGAGTGCTAGATTGTACGATCGTAAGATCTTACGTGACAAGGATGCCTGAGAGTGCTAGGATCAGAGAAAGATCGTTTTTGTCTCCGGCGTGTTCAAGGTCGAGCTTTTTGAAGCAAGATTGTAAAAAAAACGTGTTTTGGGTCTGTATTATAATTTTCACGTGTTTGTGTATGTGTATGTGTATGTACGAAATTATCATTTTTCCCTTCGGTAGGATCTTACGTGTCATGCTAACGATCCGAGTTATACAGTCTTTCACAAGCCGACAGGTCTTACTTAAGATCTCGTGTTTGGCTACATTGATGGGGATGATCTCTAAGATTTTCAATGTGATTGTTATTATTTCTATGATATGACCACTCGCCGTGTGATTGATTGATTACTCATACTGTTGAATCATTATTCTTAAATTACAGGAGATATTGGAATTTCACGAAGACTTTGTGTATTCGCTTACCACCGGGGCTGATGCAGATCATGTCGGTAACTTCCATGAGGGATATGAACCTAGTCCAATTTCAGTTTTGGATTCGACATTTAGCGAAGACATTTCAGTTATATCTGAATGCAGTGTTGCTGGTGTATGTGGTACGTAATGATCACCGTGAAGTAATTTGTGTGAAATAATAGTTTCATTTCTAGTATCTCAGTCCTTTCATTTTGGCATGAATTACCGACGTGTCAATGTTTCTTGATTTCTTCAGATTCCTCTGAAGCGGATGATGAAGAACTTGATTTGAATGTTTCAAGCGATGAAGATTGCGGCATAGAGCCTATAGGAAAATTTGAAAAGAAGAGAGATATAGTAGGCTTATCTAGAACAGAAGAAAGTAGAGACTTCTCCTATGTTGTCGAGGTCTTAACCGAAGCAGGTATGTCCAATGCGAGCTTGCTCAGAGATTTTTCAACATGGCACTCTGCGGAATGTCCTATTAGCCCTTATGTTTTCGATACCCTAGAAAAGAAATTCGGCGAGCAGCAGCTTTGGAAAAGATCTGAAAGGCGGCTTCTTTTCGATCGTATTAATTTAGGTTTGTCAGATATTCTACATCCATATTTATACGTTCCAATGTGGGAAACGCCTGTGTCAAGAAGATTGAATACTGAATTGAGACAGGATATGATTGAGGACAAGATGTGGGGATTGCTTGTTTCGCAAGAAAAGAAAGCTGGTAAGGAGTCAATAGACGATATGCTTGGAGGGGAAATTCGGTGGATAGAATTAGTTGAAGATATTGAAGGTTTTGTTAGAGAGGTAGTTAATGTGTTAATAGAGGAGCTTGTAGATGATATAGTTAGGTTAGAGAATTTTTGAAAACTCTAGCTTTGTGTGTGGAGGAGCAATTCATGAGTAAGTTTGAATTGGCGAGGTTGATTTTGAGTCGATTTTTTTCAGGTTGATTTTGAGAGGTTATAGAGTTTGCATTAGAATTTAGGTATTGTTTGATTATTGATTTAAATGGTACAATATTGTATTTGATTTGTATCCGAAAACGAAAAAAGAAAGAAAGGAAAGTGTTTGTGATTTGTATCCAAAACAAGAATAAAGGAAAGAGTGCTTGTGATTTGTATTTTGTGAGAATCTTCTTTTACACAATGATGACTGTAAATTGATGATGAATTAAGGTTTGGTTTTCTAGTGTGGGCTAGTTTTGAAGATTATATGGTAATACTGAAACATGATATATTCACTGCAATTTTTCCAAGTGAAAATCGTAACAGAAATGACATTTTGACGCATGAAAATTGTGTTTAATGATGTTCAAAATCGTGGTTGTTGTGTTTGGTAGATGATTAATGACTTGCAAGTTTCAAAGATTTTCCTAAAGGGTATGACAAAGTTGAAATTAAAGGTATGTAACCATGTAAATCAGATGTAATATAAAGGATTAATTTGGAGGAAAAAACAACATACAGAATCTATTCAAGAATTGGGAGTAGATGTAATTAACATAAAGAACCTATTCAGGAATTGGGAAAGTAGATGAAATGAAATGGAAATGGGATGAGGACTTCATGTCTCATAAATTGATGATTAAAAAAGTTAATAATTTACATTAAAAAAAGTTAATAATTTGGGATATTTAACATCAAGTACATGTGGTATCCAAAATATTCTTTGGAGCATGAATTTGGAACTTTCAACAATGATGTAAGTGTACTAAAGAAAATATGCAGAAAATAAACAAATAAGAAAAAATAGACGATACTAGGATTTATAGAGTATTGGAGTGAAGTGACACACTTCTCTTTTCAAGAATTGATCTTGAAAATATTCAATAATGTATATGAGTTTTTAGAAGGTCAAACTCACGAATCTCCTTATATAAAGAAAAATGAAATTTCAAGTTTACTTTCAACTAAACAACGAATAATAGATTGAAACGGTTAGTCTTCCTTTCAAACACGAACAAAGTTTCGAGTGGTTAGTCCCAAGATAAATCGAGATTTTATACGAACTTATCTCAAATCAATGCGAAGTTTTGGGCTAACTATCCTTTAAACCGAATTGAGATTTTACACGGGCATGTTATAAACTGAACTGAAAATTTATACCAGGTTGATCTCGAACCAACTGAACTTTTAACCGGGCTTAATTCAAGAACAGTAAGAAGATTTTTCACTGGTTATCTTCAAGAATTTAGAAAGAGTTTTTTTTTAAGTTGCTCAATGAAACAACGCGGCCGGAACCTCTCATCTGGTGTAATGAAACATCAATGAAGTCGCCACCGAACGTCTTTTATCCCTTCGAAAGGGAAAGGTAAACATCGAGAAAATCTGAAAAGAGAGAAATCACGGTCTTTCGACCGAGAGATCGGGTAAGGGAGTCTGTTATGCGAGGGGAAGGTATTAGCACCCCACACGCCCGTAGTATTCTACGGTATCCACTCTTGTTGTCTAATCTAATGGGTGTGGTCCAAACCTATGTCTATGGTTTAAAACTGAAAAGGGAATGCATGCGAAAGAAACAAAAGAAAACAATGTAGGGAAAGTAAAAGTTGTGCTCGATCGGGCCCTACCCCAATGCCTACGTATCCCTTTTAAGGAATCAGAGCAGCCGTAGTTCGGCTTATATATTTTGGTTGGTTTGTGTTTTTTAGTTAAGACAAACAAAAATAATCAAGATGGCAAAACATCGAATGAAACAACAAACAAATTAGATGGTCAAACATCGACTAAATAATAACAAGGTAACATGTCAAAGATGGCGAAACATCAAATGATAAAATGGATGACAAGACATCACACCTAGCAATGATATTGAGAATTAAAGTAGGATAACAAACAAATACGATGGTGAAACATCGGCTTCAAACAAATGTGCGATGGCGAAACATCGGTTAAGAGATAACAAGGTATCATGACAAAGATGGCGAAACATCGATAAAACAGATGACAAAACATCACATCTAACAATGATATTGAGAATCAAAGTAGGATGACAAACATGTGCGATGGCGAAACATCGGCTTCAAAAAAATGTGCGATGGCGAAACATCCGCTAAAAGATAGCACAGTATCATGGCAGAGATGGTAAAACATCAATAAATCGGATGATGAAACATCACACCTAACAATGATATTGGAAATCAAAGTAGGATAACAAACATGTGCGATGGCGATACATCGACTTCAAACAAATGTGCGATGGCGAAACATCGGTAAACCAGGTTTAAAAGCAAAGCCAAGAGGCACACAGACAAAGTAAGATTGGTTTGTATCTTTTACCTTGAAGAAGGGTTTGCGTTTATTAGAAATGTCTTATGATTTGCCAAGAAAATAATTTTTGTTTTAAGATGCAGAATGCATGGAAAGTAAAAACAACTAAGGGAAACTAACCTAGTACTATCCCAAGTGTTATCATACAGTGGTTGACCCTAAGGTTGAGGATAAAGGAAAACCCTACCTTAATTAACATGCTAAAGGAAGCTTAACAAAACTATCCTATAGGGAACATGCAATGAGAGTGAAGTCATGATCTCAATTTCTAAATTGAATGACTCATCGATCAACAATTAAAGAAGAAAAGCAATAAACATCCTATAGGGAACATGCACTGAGAGCGAAGTCGTGATCTCAATTTCTAAATTGAGTGACTCATCGATCAACAATTAAAGAAGAAAAGCAATAAACATCCTATAGAGAACATGAAATGAGAGCGAAGTCGTGATCCCAATTTCTAAATTGAGTGACTCATCGATCAAAAGCAAATACAACACATGCATTAGACAAAAACCAGAGGGCCTCCTGACATATATCAGCAACAGAGATCCCATCATGCAAACAGAGAACTATGCAAAATGAAAATGGAAGAAAGGAGATAGTGCAATACCAAACGGATAACTATCCGTAGAAACTGAGCAAGAATAAAAGAAACCCAGAGAACTTCAAGTAAGCTGACATCAGTAGACAAATCAAGTCAGAAATTACGCCATCAAGATATAAGTATTGAGATTTTTAGATATGAACAGATCCCATGGGCAATGTATAGAATTCACAATCACGTGTATATATCCTTCATGGAATATCAAACATGCCAAACACAATAGTAGTGCCAGTATAATAAGTTGTGTTCCCCAAATAAAGTGAAACACAGTAGCCTCAAGCCAAAAGTGGAAATTTTCTCAAAGTACCTCGCACATTCAACAGACAAGTTAGTATTCATAAGGTGAATGATGACTCACATAAGGGATGGATGCAACTTGATGAATTGAAAACAACATGATAACAATTATCAACTATTAGACATGATAGACAAGAGGAAACAGGCATATGCACAATTTGGTTAAAAGAAACAGAGGAATGTTGCTCCTTTCTATCACCATATTGAATTGACAATTGAATATAAATCAAGGATCATAGGAGCTTGAAAAGAATACAATCAAAGACCATGGAGGTCAGGGGCAAACACATCTCAATCATGTACAATTAATTCAAACACAACTCACAAGCACAATAGAAGATGAATCCCACATAATGCATTAGAAGGTTCAAACATTCAAACACGAGGCATTAAAAGAAATGACTTCAGCTATCATGGATAATCAGAATCAATATGATCATTAGGGGCCCAATTATAGGCCTCACTCAAGTTCATTGGCCATCAAAAAAATTGCAACAAGATATGCAACATTAATTGGGTACCTTCACTTCAAAAATACATCAAAAATAGAAACAAGGATCCATAATTCAAACCAAAAATATATTAACATCTTTGAAGTGTGTAAAAGTCAGAAAGAAAGTCCTATGTTCATGAATGATTGAGGAGGAGATCAAATGAGGCCCAAAGTTCAAGACTAGTTGGCAAAACTACCAAACTAGACAAGTTTTCAAAATAATTTGTGGAAAAATGTCAAACCAAGTTAAATAATTCAAGAAAAATGGTTTTAAGATCCTCAACACATTCATGAACCCTAATCAAGACTTGAATTCTATTGAAAATCCAGGGCATAGTGGTTTTGAAAATGAGACTTGCACCATAAGCAACAAAACCCCAATTTTTGACTTTTAATCTCAAATATTGATTAAGTAAGATCAAAATTCAAACAATTTAAACCAAGATCATACAAATTACCAAGAAACCCTAAATGTCAGAAAGCATTTTTTTTACATTTTTTGAATTAAAGAAAAGTCAAAAATAAAATCAAATTCAAACAATTAATCAATTAACAAATATTCACATCTCAAAAATTGAACTTTAATAAAAAAGTCAGAAAAATGTCCAACCAAAATCATATTCAAATATTATAATTAAAAACACACATCCCTGATTTTTTGTGGAATTTTTGAATCAAAAGAAATATTAAAATAAAATTAACCAAACAATTAACAATTAAACTATTATTTAAGAGCAAAAATGCAAACCCTAGCCAAAAGTAACAAAAAGGTCAAAATAAAAATATATTCAGATTCTATGATTAAAGAAAAGCTTGCATGATTTTTTTGAGAATTTTTGAATCAATGGAAGTATTAAAATAAAAATCAAACAAACAAATATTACAACTAAAGTTTTGAAATTAAATTTTTAATCAAAAATAGCAAAAATGCTAAACAAAAATCAGAATCAATTTTTACATTATTTTATGAGTTCAAAATAAATTTTTTGGAATTTTTTTGATCAAAAGAAATATTAAAACAAAAATAAACATTGAATAAACAATTATTTACACTCATGAATTTTTAAAACTAATCAAAACATTTTAAAAAAATTCCAAATAAATATGACAAATACTAGAAATTATCATTAGCCTATGGTAATTGTTTTATGATTTTTAAAAATGTTTTGATCACAAAAATAAAATCAGAAAAATCAAA